ATGAAGAATATCAAGAAAATCAGTTGTGAAAGTCTTATAAATGGGCCAAAGGCATTTCTAAATAGATTTCCTGTCCATCTGTCAAAACATCACTGTAAGACCCTATATTCAGTTTAAATTAATAAATAAAAAGGCATTGTTAATGAAGCACCTCAATAAACCAACCCCCCCCCCCCCACACCAAAAAAAAAGAAAAAAGAAAAAAGAAATTAAAACAACGCAATACAACTAAACATGTTTCTGTGGCTGTGTATTGCACAACTACACTCGCAGATGTAAGCATATGCACAACACAGAGACTATGTTGATGCAACCTCATGCAATAGCAACAATTATTTCTGTTTAGACACTAGCATGAGAGCAAAGCATAAAGTACAACCCTTCAAATCTACCATTACGACTGCCATGATCTGTGATGTATCAATTAAAGAAAGGAAAAGAAAAAAAACAAAAAGAGAGAGAGATGAACAAATATTAGCGGACAAACAAGTGAGGGAAACTAAGGAACAGATTCATATTACAGACCACAGATCTTTTTGTTGTTGTCATTAACTAAATTAAAATTACATGGTAATAAACATCATTTTTCCCCATTAAGAATAAAGACCTGAAACCACAAAAGGGCCAACTCGACATGAGACAGAACACACAGGGTGAAACAGTCCTTCATGGATTCTCAGAGCTTCTCTGGAAAAACAATGTTAAAAATAAAACTGCACTGAACGCTGAAGGTTCTTGGAGATGGTTTTGTTAGAACATTTCAGAGCTACTACTGTTACTAAAATAAGGCTTAAGAAAGTCAATGAAATAACAACCAGCACATTCTTTTTAAAATCTATACTGAAATATAAAATAGCAAACAAGTTTATGTTTTGCCCCTCTCCATTTCCAAATCAGATGGTTATCTAAAAATCATACAGCCTCTACAGTCACTGTTATGAACGATCCAGCATGTTTGGGGGAAAAACTGGTGCACATAACGTAATCAGTTTATATTTTTGCCGTCATTAATAATGAATGCAGTTCAAAAATAAAGAGATGAAAGCATAGCAGTTCTTATTCTCCCAGTGTGTTCTCTTAAAGGTGGCTCTTTTATCAGTGAGAGAAATCATTAGTTAGCAAGACCAGCAACCACAGAAGGCTGACGTCAGCCAAATTACACAAGAACTGACCTGAATGCAGAAAAGTACTGTCAGGTTTTGATAAAGCAAATTAATTGCAAATTAATCACTGCACCCATTTCCCATTTTTCCAAGCAAAATTTGAAAAGAATTAAGGGTACCTGAAAACCATCACACAGCACTATACTTAAGCAACCTCCGCCAAAGCACAATACTTGCAAAATATGCACAAAAACAAACAAAAAAACAAACTGCTTTTGCTAAAAGGTATAAACAACACATTTTACTTAAGTCAAAATGCATGTCAAGTACAACCAGGCTGTGATTGCACACCAGGAAGAGATATTAGCACCTGGGGATGTGTGATCCAAATGTAAACAAATGACTCAACTAACCATCGCTGAAGCATTTGCTAGTTGCACTCCATATGACAGAAACAGCAAACAGTGGGTGGAGGTTACTAATGCATTTTACTTTGTTTAGTCAATGATATGATGACAGTCCAAACTGTGGAAAAGAAGGGCTTTAAACAACTAATTAAAAAGCTCATCCCAAAATGCAACATCCCAGCTAGCAATTATTTTCTCATTTAAAGTTAATTCTGTAACAATATGGTGCAGCTCCCAAAAAGTTACAAGGTTAAGCCGTGTTGTGCAGTTCTGTTACACTTTTACTTCGTTTTCAGAGAAAACATTACCTTGGCTACTTCTGTGCCTACATTTGACTGATGCTGTGTCACTGGATACAATACTGTGTCACTGCTATTGTACAATAATGCTGCTGCTGCTGGCACCTCGTGACAATAGATTCACACTTTGAAGTATGTAGTCTGTCATCAGTGACAGCAGCTCATTGGAAGAGAAGGATGGAAAATACCCTTCATTTTGTTTGCACTAATAAATGCTGCTGCCTGCAAGCTGCAATCACTGATAAAATGTTGCTCGGGACTTTTAGCTATATTGTCATAGATGTCATTATTGCAAATATTCTTGAAATATTATGGTTTAATTCAGAGGCTATAACATCCACCCTCATTACCTAGTATGTATGTGTCCCCACAGAACACAAGGTGCTCGAGTTTGTTGAAAATGTGCCAAAAAATAAATTAATAAATACAATGTGATATCAGCAATTTTTCCTTTTTTCAGGCACACAAAACAAACAGATTTCCATAACATTTGTTCTCTGTTGTTTAAACAATTATGTAAGTTCTGCCTGACTCTGCTCTCTGCCACCAAAGATTCTGCAGAGTGCCCTCTGGTGGACAAACTATGCAGCATCAAGTCTGTGTAGCTTCTCAGTCATCCAGGTCATGGTAATCTTAGTAGGGGGAAGGAAAAAAAAATATCGACTGGACTTCTTTAAGTTTCTATGCAACATCAACACTCCCGACATTCGCTGAAAAGTGTTTCTCCTATCTCGTTAACTGTTTGAATTTTCATTTATCGACCATTATAAATACCAGCATCAGCAAATGGCGAATCTTGGCCGTTATACTGAAAAAGTTATTAAAACCTAAATGATATGGAATGTACTACAGTCCTTGCAAAAACTGGATTTTGAGGGCCAATTACAGCTGTGCCATTGGGTGATGATCCTGCAAATTGATGCTAACAAGTAAACAACAAGTAACTGATCAATCAAACGTTTTTTAGCTTGTGCTCTCATAAATGCATGAAATCAATGTTTTTATTATAAAAATCTGTCCCACTTTAGATTGCTGTTGAGCATTTAACCAGCACTTGTGCAAGTACATGCACACCCTTCTGTACTTTTCTTTAAGTCCATCAATCAGCATGTCTAAAGAGAGAAAACAGAAGTGTTTTTAAGTGTTACACTTTAACTTTAGGTTTAATGAAAATGGGCTGGATGTATGTGTCATTTAAAGTCTCTGCTGTGTCCAGAGAGGACAGAATTTAATTCTATTTGCCTTTGTAATAGGCATCTATCAATATCAGCATTGATACTGACCAATATTTATCAACTCTCATCGATGCTTCTGTATTTTTGGTGTAATATAAAGCTTTAACTGGATGCAACACTCCATCACGCTCCCTGATGTTTGAATGCAAGTCTTCCAGTTTGTGCAAGTCCTCTGTCGCTAGGGCCTCTTGTCTGATCTGTGTGCAGCTTGGAGTGTTTGCCTAGCAACACTGACTTCACAGTCAAAAACACCCTCTAGTCTGAGCCCAACTGCCAACCACACAACACTGTGTCAAACACTTCCACCTGATTTTCTTTCCCATTTATTTAACTCTAGAAGAACATTTTTGTTTTTTTTTCTTCTCCAGTTTGCATCATGTTTCTAAATTGAATAAGTAACTATGTTAAATGACTCTGATCTCAATCCTGACTGAAATAACCCAGTATCATTTAATCTTGATTATCAAAATAAAGAAAAAAAATACATGTTTTAAAAAAACAAGTACATAAATATGGTAGAGAGACCCTACAATAATACACAGAAAACCCCAACATTCAAACAACCTCCTATGAGCAAGCACTTGGTGACAGTGAGAAGGATGGTGACTATAATAACTCCGTCGATAGCACTTCTAAAATCAGAATCTCTTTGTATGGCGTTTTTAGAAGGATTATATCTGCTCATACACTGTCCTGTGATTCCTAGTTTAAAAAGTTGTTGCTTAGTTTTTAACTAACTGTAAGATAAAAAATTACATTCATTCACTTCTACTGATCTACTCAGAGTTAATTTTAGATGTTCAATGATCACTATGCTGGTTTCAAGAGTTTAAAGGTACAACCACTAGTTTTATAGCTAAATTGCTCAAAAGCAATCTCACTGCACTGGTCATCCAAGCGATCGACACCTGTGTATTTCAGTACGATTTAAATATAAAGGCACTAATAATGGGACTGGCTACGAAAATCTTATATGGAAGTTGATATAATACTAATAAAAAAATGCAATGTCAGTTTATTTGAGCAATCAATTCTGTTAACTCATCCTTATTCAGCTATTCACTTCTTCTTTCAAATAGTTCTTCATTCAGTCACTCATCTCCTCAGTCAGTCTGATGTAGAGGTCTCTTGGTGTGCATTAGACCATGAAAGAGTCATAAAAATTAGCTCCTAAGAACTGACCTGATCCATTGACTGTGTAACCTTGAAAC